ATTCCACACAATTACGTTTAAAAAGAAATCCTGAAAGGAAGAAAATAAAAGGCTGTAACATACACACCACAGGAGTGAATTCTACTACTTTACTCGATGCTCCAACTGTTCTTCATTTTGTCCACTGTAAGCTGAACTGTAAAGTCTGCCCATTGTGAAGCTGCCGGCCTGAGCCAGTGCTGCAATATGTGCTTGTGATGAAGAGCAGTAGGAATGGAGGCAACAGATTTCAAAGATGCCCCCCATCTCAACAATGACTTAAAGCCCTGGCAAAACATAGTGGATGTTTCAAACTGTCCTGCCATTCCTGCTGGGAGGTCTGGGAGCCTTGGGTGGACTTGTTCGTCTTCGATCCCGATCTAGGGAGCATCTGGCTGCGCCATCACCTCACACCAAATAGCCACATATCCTGGCCGCTGACCACATGAGACAGTTGTCTCTGTGCTGCCCCTGTGAGGACACTAGGCAGCTCCTCACTGGGCGGCAGGGCTCAGAGAAATTCTATCAGAAACGGGGTATTAATCAACCCGATGCTTCTAAAACTTGTGCACAATTTAACGTGTTTTTTTTTCTGACCCTAAAAATAAAACCAAATTGACTAAAATTCAAAGTATTCTGGATCAACAAGTACAGATTTCAGTGGCTTAAAGCTTCATTCATTTCCTAAAGAACAGAGTCAGCAAATGCAATAAACGTTCAGCTGAGGCTAATACGATGCTGGGTGAAAACCTCCCTCCTCAGAACAAATCAGCCCAGATCTCTCCCACCCCAATTCGGTTGCCTTCGGCCTCCAGACAGACCAGATAACATTCACCATTTAAAGATTTTAAGTGTGAACTTAACCTGATGAACCCTTAGTTCACAAGGTGAAAGAACTAGTTTCTAGTGTCCCTTCAAATATGGAAAACATAAAACATGGACTGCCTACATGTGCACCCTTTAGTACAAAAGGGAGAGAGAGGTCTCATTATCAAAATTGCTGCATACACACAGGGGAAAGGATGTATGGCAGCACCTTATCCACAGAGGATATGTCCTAAGACCCCAACGGATGCCAGAAACCATGGATGGTACCGAACCCAGGCACAGAAAATATTTTCCTATACACACATGCCTTTGCCCTTAAAGGAAGCACTTTACATTTGGCATGTCCACATGTGCTTTGGGGCCATTATCAAGTGAAATAAGGTTGATTTGAACACAAGCACTGAGATACCACAATCGACTCAATCTGATCACAGAGACAGCTACTAAATGACTAACTGGCAGGTGGTGTAGACAGCGTGGAAATGCTAGACAAAGGGATGGTTCACATCCCAGGCAGGACTGAGCAGGACAGCACGGGATTTTATCATGCTACTCAGAATGGCGCGCAATTTAAAATGTATAAATTGTTTATTTCTGGAATTTTCCATTTAATATTTTCAGATCACATGTGTCCCAGGTAAATAAAACCAAGAAAAGCAAAATCAAGACTAGAAAAATAGTCTACACACAAGCTAAGTTACTATTTCTTCCATTCTCCCACCCACAGGAAGGAGACTATTCTGCACTTACCAGCACAGCATCTGAGTCATGCCAAAAGCGCCAGAGAATCCAGAACCACATGGTTGCACTGAAGAACTCCCCCCTGATCACCTGGGACTTAGTGAGCTGGGGAAACTCTCGGTACCGGGGCTCAATGTGCACACCGCCACCAGCACTACGAGGAAAAGGAAAACGTCAGGCAGCTGGCTACATCTTCAAAGTATTCAGTCCTCCAACACCCTGAGTTCCATCCAGAAACTGAAGCTAACATTTCTCATCTCCTCCACAAAATATAGGATGATAGAGCTTCACAAGCCCTCAACATACTCCTTTTTCATAAGCTCACTTTAAACTTGTTAAGCAGCAAACACTAGCCTGAACTGACAAGAGACTAATGATGCTTTTCCTTTAGTGAATACTCCTATATCTTATGAATATGTTGATAATGAGTTACTGCCCCAAGAGTTTTGGTTAAAGGATTGTGAACCTATAGTAATAAGCAGTCACTAGCTTTATCCAAAGAAAACAAATAAGCAAATCAATTTAGCCATCTATTTAAAAATTAATTATGTCCTCTACTCCATTGCAATATTTATGGGAAAGAGGACATTGTAACAATAGGCTTCCTCTTTGACAGGTTTAGATACTATCCTATCCTATATAATAAAAGCCCGCAACCTGGGCATGTGCCCCAACTTCTTACTCAGTACCTACCTCAAGTCAAACTCTCAGGCATGCATTCCCTACATCATCCTGCATACAGTAACCCATTCACCCCTATCCTGGACACTATAGATTAATCCCCCTCTATTTTCTTCATACCACTTAACAGTACCTAAACATGTTCTTTCTTTTCTACTTGTTTATGTTCTCTCTCCATAATGGAAGCTCCATTATCTTTTATATATATATATATATATATATATATATATATATATATATATATAATCAAATATATATATATTTTTTATTATTATTCTTAATTTTTTACAGAGAGGAAGAGAGAGGGATAGAGAGTTAGAAACATCGATGAAAGAGAATCATCGATTAGCTGCCTCTTGCACACCCCCTACTGGGATGCGCCCGCAACCAAGGTACATGCCCTTGACCGGAATCAAACCTGGGACCTTTCAGCCCGCAGACCGACGCTCTATCCACTGAGCCAAACCGGTTTTGGCTCCATTATCTTTCTTGTATTATGTTCTATCCCCAGTACCTAGAAAAGATCCTAGAATCCAAAAGATGCTCTATATACTGAATAGCCAGATTGTGATCTCTGAACGCATAATAATCTGGCCACTCAGTGTATATCCTATATAATAAAAGGCTAATATGCAAATTGTCCCCTCAACCAGGAGTTCGACCAGTAGGCAGGCTGGCCAACCACCCATATCCCCTCCCCCTGACTAGGCTGGCCAGATCCCACCCATGCACAAATTCATGCATTGGGCCTATACACACACACACACACACACACACACACACTGAGTAGCCAAATTCTTATACATTCAGAGATCATAATAATCTGGCCACTCAGTGTAAATATTTATTCACTTAATGGTCACTCACACTGTGAAATCAGTGTGTGTTATGGAAGAACCAAGACCTCAGTGAAGAGCAGCACCCCCTAACGCAGCTAGCTGGCATGCTCAGTGGTTGAGTGTCAGCCTATGAACCAGAAGGTCACAGTTTGATTCTCCCTCAGGCACATGCCCAGGTTGTGGGCTTGATCCACAGCATAGGGTGTGCAGGAGGCAGCCGATCAATAATTCTCTCACATCACCAATGTTTCTATCTCTCTCTCCCTCTCCCTTCCTCTATGAAATCAATAAAAGTTTTTTGTTTGTTTTTTAAAGATCCCCCGGGCTACCATATGGTAGTTCTTCATTGTTGTCTGTGCTCAGGTCACACCTAAGCCTTTTTCTTCTTCCCACCTCACACCATTCCCAGCTCCGCATCTATATCTATCATGTAAAAGCCTAATATGCAAAATGTCCCCTCGGGAGTTTGATCGCTCACTATGACATGCTCTGATCTCCAGAGGGTGGTGCAGAATGAAGGAAGGCCCGCCGGCAGCCGCTATGGACCATACTGGTGCATGAATTCATGCACTGGGTTCCAGCCCTTAATAATCATGTAACTTTAGGCAAGTCACTCCTTTAATTTCCCTGAGTCTCAGGTCCCTCACAATAGCTGAATAATACTTGCATGATGCCTGCTATGCACAAGTAACTGTCCTAAAACACTTCAGAGAATTGTAATTCATTTGATTTCTTAGAAGTTAACATTAGTATCCTCATTATGCAGGTGAGAAAGCTGAGGCATGAAGAGATCAAGAAACTTCCAAGGTCATGCAGCTAAAATGCCAGGCACTATCCTGCACTGCCTCTTGCTAAAGTGTAGATGAGGTCTCCAAACACCACCTGGAAAAATCAAAGGTACTATTTTCAGTCCTGCTCTTACTGAATCACTCCTCTGCACTTACTGCTCTTACTGAATCACTCCTCTGCACTACCAGCTTGTTTTTGGTAGATGTGTTCTCCCTTGGTTGATATGTCCTGCCACCACCATGCTCTCCAGTCAGTTTCTTAGGCTACATACCTCACCAGGTGACTCTTGCTCACTCTCTTAAATTCTAGTGTTGCAAGAGTAAACCCTAATGTAAAATGTGGACTTTGGGTGGCAATGCTGTGTCAATGTAGGTTTATCAAATTGTAACAAATGTACCCCCCTGATGAGTGATGTTGGCAATGGAGGAGGTAATACATGTGTGGGGGTAGGAGGAATTGTGGCAAATTTCTGTACCTCCCGCTCAAATTTGCCGTGAATTGAAAACTGCTCTAAAAAAATAAATGTTTTTTTTAAATAAAAAATTCTGAATTGCCCAAGCATCTACTTTTGGCTCTCTCTTCTCCCACCTTTCCACACTCGGGGTGATGGCCTACACTCCCGTGCCTTAGAGAAGTAATTCCTCAATCTGCAGCCTGAGTGATTTTTCAGAATTATAATCTGGCCACAAGGCGTCGGGTTGAAGCCGCTCAAGGATCACTGTCACCTGTTATAAATTATTCAGCCGGCCATCAGGATCCACTAGTCCCCTCCCTATGCCCTAAGGCCTCCAGCCTCACTTCTGCCCTTGACACTTCAAATACACACACAGCAGAGGTTGTTTCCACGGCCTGGACCGACCTGCTCTAATCCCGGATCCAGATTAGCTTCTATTTGTGTCCACATCCAACTGTGAAAATCCCGAGCGCAGGATCCCCCTGGTGCAGGGTGGTGTCCCTCCGTGTCCCCTCTCACCCCCGACCCCGCTGTGACCAACTCCCCCTGGCCTTAGCGCAGCGACTACAAGTCCCAGCATGCCTCGGGGCGGATGGGTCCCAGGCGCCCGGTGTCAAGGTGAGAACGTCCCGGAAACGGGCACTTTCTGTTAGAAGCAGGCCAAGACCCCACCCCCAGCCGACACTCACTGACGGACTCCGCTTCCAGCCGCCCGCGCGCGGAGGCCTCTGAAGAGGCTTCCTCCGCCGCGAGCGAAAGGCACCACCCGCGTGAGAGCCGACATGCCAGCCCGAGTCCGGACAGCCGCCGTGAGGCCGCACCACCGCCGGGAGGCCGCACCGCCCCGTTCGCGTCACTTCCCCCCGGAGCCCCGCCCCAGACGTCAGCGGCGTCGCCCCGCCTACCTCCTTCCGGAAGACGTCAAGAGGAGGGAAGCCAAGGTTTGGGTCTCGAATTAGCGTCTCGGTCCCTCTGAGGGGAGAGCTGCACACCTGCAGGGACTCGGGTGTCGTGGTCCAGGGGGTGAGGAGGCGAGTGTAGTCGGCCTCAGGCGTTGCTAAGTGACGGCTGGGACGTGTCGGCTGGGCGGCGCCGCGCGCTTTCTCGGGGCCTGGCGTGCGAGGCCTCGCGGAGGGAGGTGAGGACGCCCCAGGCGCCCGGCGGTAGGAGCGCTGGGTTTGGCGAGTGCTGGCAGACCCTTACCCCCGAGTCTGAACTCGCTCCTCCCTACCTGTGCTATGGTATTTTCTCAGCCTGGACCTGCTCCTCGGCCTCCTGCTCCTGAGTTAGCTGCCTTCCTTTCAGTTGTAGGGTCCTTTATGAACCTCTGGGGAGTGTGGCCCACATAAACTTAAGATTGCTGAGCTACCCCCTGCCCTTGAGGACAGTCTTATTGATTTATCCTCTGGCCCTGTTCTCCCGCCCTCTTAACTTAGTATGTAAATTAGAGGAAAGAATCCACTCTTCTCTGGATGAGGACTTCCCACTTGCTATGCAAGAGTCTACCTTTGTCTGCACTACCATTTGCCACTTATCCTTTCTGGTGATAGCTACAAAACACTAAGATAGAAATTTCGTTTATGAAATGGGAGGAAGGAGGAAGCTTGCCATCTTCCTAGAGAACTGGCTGCCCAAGCCATATATCTCCCAGCAAAGAACAATGCTATGATTCCAAAGCCACAAAAACAAAGCACAGCTTAAACAAAAAAAGAGCAGAGAACTTGGGAGTGAAGATCTGGAGTTCGTTCAGATCTGACATGTGGCTGGTCCACATGGACTAAGAAGATCCCAGGGTCAGATTGTAGAGTAGATATTGGTAAAGCTTAAATTTCTAAATTTTCTAAATAAAATAGTATTTTCCCTCTCATCCCAGTGGATTCTCTTGCTCATTTTGGAGACCACTGCTTTAGACAGTGAAAAGTCAGCCTTCCTGTTCTCTGAAGTCTTGCTCTGGCCACAGGACTAGATTCTTTCACTCTCCTTCTCAAGGATAAAGTTCTTTGTTTCTGTCTTTTAGGGAGCAAGTACTGTTTAGTTAGGCAGAGATTCCTTTGGTAGTTTTTCCCAAAGGGGTGGAGATATTTTTATTTCCCAATCTTGAGGGGAGGGCATTCTAACCAGGCAGGGAGGTAATTCAGCAAGAAAGATGGGGAGTCCTGGCTGGTTTGGCTCAGTGGATGGAGTGTTAGCCTATGAACTGAAGGGTACTGGGTTTAATTCTGGCTGAAAGCACATGCCTGGGTTCCATGCTCGATCCCCAGTGGGGGACGTGCAGGAGGCAGCCGATCAATGATTCTCATTATTGATGTTTCCATCTCTTCCTCTCCCTTCCTCTCTGATATCAATAAAAATATATTTTTAAAAAAATAAACATTCCCATAAAAAAAAAAAAAAAGATGGAGGTGAATGAATTTGTTACTCTGAATCAAGCTTTTCCTATCAGGAAAGGAAGGTACAATAAAGGAATAAAAATTTCCTGAGTACATGCTGTGGGCCAGTCACTGTCTGTGAATTCTTAAATGACTCAAATTAAGAGGAGGGGCACTGATGTTCAGAGAAGGGGACCTGTCCAAATTTCTAGGCTAATGGTAGAGGTGAGATCTGAACGAACTCCAGATCTTCACTCCCAAGCTCTCTGCTCTTTTTTGTTTAAGCTGTGCTTTGTTTTTGCGGCTTTGGAATCAGCCTGTGGGTGGGCCCGGCACAGAGGGGCAGGCAGTGCCCACCACCCCTTAATTCATTGCCGGAGTGTCATGGGTGCTCCTGCAGATTTCAAGTCCTGGTTAAGAGGCTGTGCTGATTATAATATCTATATGTTAATATTAACCTAAATTAGCCCTAGACAAATGCACAAGGGCCTGAACATTGCTCAGAGGAACCACAATCTGAATACTAGTATGCAAGAAGGCAGAGCTGATTCTGCTCCTGTCCCTACGGTATCAGCCACATTAATTGTTGCTCTCCTTTTTCCCATTGTAATAAAATTTAGCAAGAAGTTAGCAAAAATATTTAAAAGTATAAAGAAGATCGTTTGAAATACAGTGAAATTTGCCCTAAGTGTACATTGTACCTCCAGATATTTGTCAGTGTACATTGTCACCTGCATATAATATGTAAATATATACGTATGTGTACAGAAATGTATTCAACTTTTTACCAATAAGGGTACATTTAAAAATTGGAAGCCATGGATCTATACAAGATAGTATGACATTTTCTAACTTAATTATCAAAGGTCAGATAGACCTACCTGATGAGGGATTACAGAGTTAAGAAGAGAGAAAAAGAAGAAAACAAAATAATGAGTTTATTCTTCCTTCTCCACAGAATCTTTTCCCTGACATAGTCTCCCACCAGGTCCAGCTCCTACAACTGAATCTCCCCTCCCTTTACTTCCCCAAATAGCACAAAGCCATTTAAACAGATGCCTAAAGCCAAATCAGAGAGAAAAGCAATGCATTCCCTCCACCACATCCCAATTTGTAAGTTCTCACTGCCTCAGGAGAGGCCCACTGCACGTTTGCGTCTTGCCACTGCCAGTCAGAAGGAAGACACTGGCCCTTTCAGCAGGAAGGGCATGGCTGCCTCCAGGATGTCCAGTTTGGGGTCCAGTGAGCGACCAAGCCCCTCGAGCACCATGATGGCAAACACAATGGAGGCGAAGTTGCTCTCAAGCTTTACCTGAAAGAGAAAATAAGTGGGTTCTTCCCAAAGCCCATTGATATAGAGTTCTGGATAACCATGTAGCCGTCTGCTCTCAGCCTCCTATACCCGTCCATGTGACTTTCACTGTCTCCCTAACCCTCTTTTCCCTTCCCCATCATTTACCCACCATCTCATCTACCCACCCAACCTCCCATCTACTACTATCACTAAGGAAAAACCTGGGGGATGTGGTATGTACCTTTCTAGGTATGTGTGTGTGTTCATATGACTTTAAAATAATAAAATTAGTATCTCGGCGATATACCAGAATCTGTAAATCTAAATAAGGATCATTCTTCTGACCAGCCACCTTTCTGACTTAATTCTATGTTATGACCCTTGTCAAATGCAGTATTTCACTATCGGACTGCAGAACCTTTAGAGAGACACTGGGAAAGGCCATCTTCAGACTAGAATCTGCCCTGCCCTGCCCTCAACTCCTTAGACACTTGGCTGACAGCTTTACTTTGAAGAATAACCCAAGACCACATCCATCACAAGGAGACAGACAAAGGCCAAGGTGGAGAACTGTGAGGCCATGTCCCTCCGAGGAACAAGGGCAGGAGGCAGAGGCCACAACAGCCGTGCTGGGGTCTCTGAACACACCAGGTCAAGAGGCACCCCCTCCTGGGCCGGATTTTACACTGCTCAGGAAAGAGCTGTGTAAGTATGACGTAGATTAGTGCCATGCATCATGCATGTGTACCGCTTTCATTACATGGTGTTTACATCTGTGAATCCACTTCTCTACAGCTGTGTCACAGATACTTGGACAGCTCAGCCTTACAGAGACACAGACCAACATTGTGACAAGGAAGAACCTGCTGTACCTAGTTAGTACACAGAAGCAGCACTCTTCATGCTAATGAAATGGTATGGAAAATGTTTTTAAAAAACGAGATCTCATATAGGAAGAGTACTTCTCACGACTCAATGGCCACCCATCAGCTTCCCCAGAGACCTCCCCTGCAGCCTGGCTGGAGCAGAGAGGCTCAGCTCTGCAAGGGACCTCACCTTGTGAGTCATCAGTAACCTAAAGACATTCGAGAGAAGGCTGGAAACTTGGAGCTGGAAAAGAGAATAAAACTGAATGCAGAGAGTGCAGACCCCACCCCCAATTCTTTCCCAGGCCCCTGTCCTGTCCTCCCCCAACACCCCGTCCCTCCCATCACACACACACACACACACCAGTGAGTGGAAAGAGCCTGTCTAACTCCAGAAGGACTGCTCATGTACAAGCCCTACTCTCATCTCAAGAATAGGAGCCTGAGCTCAAAGGCTCCTTCCAGGAAGAGGCCTGGAGGCCAGGCTCACCCAGTGGGTCTCCCCAGCACACACGCCACATCTGAATAAGGAGGATCAGCAGCACCTGGGTGCCAGCTGCAGCTCTGACTCGATCCTGCTAGTGTAGCCATGAACTTGAGAAAACGCTCAGTTCTGCTAGAACTGAGTATAAAATACAAATTGAACTCAATTCTAAATATAGGATGTGAACATTGGGTATGTCTTCTGGCCACTCAGAGACCGTCATCCATCCCTTCAAGCTCAGCTGAGTTCGAGATACAGAAGAATCGGCAGAACAGCTACAACCCAGGCAGGCTGGGGTGTGACATTGTATATATGTCACGCCCCATAAGGCACCCTGGAAATCTGGTCAAGGAGCTACTCTTGAGAGTCAGAGATTCCAGTGGGCCTCCTCACACCTCGGAGATGTGGGCAGTTTTATCTGCCTTAAAACTCAAACCCCCTCCATATTTCTCCCCATTAAAAGATCTCCCTTCAGTTTGGGGTTTGTTCTGGCCAAGGGCAAGGGCAGTACTCAGCCCCTACCCCTCTGTGGCCTGCTCACCTTTTCCAGGGTGATAGTGTTCTTCCTGGCCTGCGTTACTAGTGTGGCCATCTCCGCCTTGAATCGCTCCACGTCCTTGCACTCACTGGCCCGAGCGTGATGCAGGATGAGCTCGGCCACTCTTTGGCCCTGGAAGATACAAAAGAAAAGAAATTTAGTAGAGTTAGGAGGGCACAAAATTAGATGATCTGCCCACACTCCTTCCTATCCTAGTTGTTTCCACCTAGTTC